AGATGACCTTGAACTCAGAGATCTCCTTGCTTTAGTCTCCTGAGATTCATAGCCACTATTCCTCAAGATTTCCATGCCAAGATCCAGGTCAGAAACTTGTATCTCTCAGCCTCAAGATCAGGATCACAGGTGAGCCTTCCAATTCTGGATTGTAGTTCATTCCAGGTATAGTCAAGTTGACAACCAGTAATAGCCATTATATAGATGGATGGACAAACAGACTGGTGGGCAGATGCATATGTGTGTGTGTGTGTGTGTGTGTGTGTGTGTGTGTGTGTGTGTGTGTAGACAGACAGATTCTGCATATGAGAGAAGAGAGGCTATATTTGTCTTTCTTCTCCAAGTACATCTTATTTCTCTCACTTGTCTCTTTAGTTCCTATAGGCATATATAACATCTATATATAATAATCATCACACATATATTTGAATATATGTATTAGTGTTAGATTATACATATAAAAATATTTGTTTTTCTGAATCTATTTTTCTTTATCTTGACATAACGACCTCTAGTTTTATCTATTTCCTACAACTTACTCAATTTTATTCTTCATTAAAGTTAAGTAATAACTCCATTGGAACATGTATTATATTTTACCTAATCCTGTGTTAATGGATGTTTGGCTGGTTCCATAGCTTATCTATTGTAAGCAGTGCTGTAACAAATATGGGTTCACAAGATTAATCACTGTGGTATATTGACCGAGGTTCCTTTAGGTTTATAGCTTTGAGTGCAATTGCTGGATCATACGATAGTTCTGTGTGGCATTACTGAGGAATTTTCATACTTTCCATAATGGCTGCACCAGTTTGTATTCCCACCAGCAGAGTATAAGTGTTTTGTTTTCCAGACATCTTTCTTAGAATGTCATTTGTTGTCATTTGTTTTGTTGATGTTCTGACCCAGGTTAAAATGGAATATCAATGTATTCTTAATTTTAATTTTCCTATTGCTAAAAATGATGAATTTTTTCATGTAATTATTGACCATTTGTATTTCTTTTTTTGAGAACTGACCAGTTAATATGCCCATTTGTTTACTGAATTATTTTAATTGGAATGGTTTAATTTTTTGATGCTTTATATATTAATGCCTGGTCATGTGCATAATTGGCAAAGATTTTTCTCCCATTCTGAAGAATTTAGGTAGCTTTGAACTACCTCAAAAGTGAGTGTATGTTTGAAAGCACTTGTTATTGTGTATGCTGTGTGTCTAAACAGTTATTTTGTGTTTAAAATAGCATATCCAATAACAAGTATCTTCAAATTAACTATTCCAAATTAAAACCACCCAATCAACAAATGAGCATATTAACTTGTCCCAGCCCTGTACCAGGTCCCAACGGAACCTTTAAATCTATAGACGTAGAATACTACATGAGAATTGGCACATTTCAGTCTGCACTGGAGAGGTCTCAGGGAGTCTGAGACTTATTGGTGTAGAAAATACGGAGTCTCCTTGTAAAGAGCAATGTCTGGCAATTCAATGGTTCTGTTTTGAGGTAGGAAAAACCATTGAAAGCAGCACTCATGTCAAGGGAGAAAAGTCCCATAGAATCTAAATGTTCTTACCAGGGAAGATGGCCCTGGAGTGCATGTAAAAGCAGAGGAGGTGACCCTGGTAGAGCTCCTGGATCTTTGACCCAGATCTTGGGAGCAAATGGATAGATGTTGAAGCGGGGAAGAATGGAGCTTCTTGGCTTCCTCCTATATTGCTCTCAATGGGGAAAATACATTTAAAAGCAGCATCTGTAGCATCCAAATCGTAAAGAGCATTTAAATTGGATGGTGGAAGCCTTGACTTAAAAAAAAAACAAAAACAAAAGCAGACACAGACTGCAGCTAAAGTGTATGGTGGGGAATATGTCTCAAAGGCAACCATGATGACTGATATGTCCACTGTCAGTTGGACTGGTTTCGGAATCACCCAGGAGACACATATCTGGGACAGTGTTTCCAGAGAGGTTTGACTGAGGATAGAAGGCCTGCTCTAAATGTAGGTGACACTGTCTATCGGAATTAATAGAAAGGGGAGAGAGTAAGCAAGCTACCTGTTTTCTGCTTCCTGGTCTTCTCAGCAGAGAAAGGCTGTTTCATATTCTAGTTCCTGTGCTCTTGCCATGGTGGACTGTGCCCTCTCAAATAGTAAGCCCATCTTCTTTTACCGTGCTTTCTGTGAGTTACTACATCATAGAAATGAGGGGGAAAGCAACCAATAGAAGGAACACAGAAACCAGAAACTGGGCAGCATAACCAATTGAACAAATTCAACTAGATTGTTCCTGGTCTTCATTAGAAATGATCTTGAAAAGTTGCAGGGGTCGAGGGGGTGCAGGGGGGGCAGACCTCATAAGATCACCTCCATGTTGTAGGCGATTTTGAAGAAAATTAAAGCTCTTGAACAAGAGTGGAAATAGATTACAGCTATGTGGGAAGGAATTTTGATTCTTAATCTTTTATTTTGAAATGAAATTACTTGTAATGGAAGGATATAAATTATACAAGATCTGGAATTCATTTCTAACAACATTTATAGTCAGAGTAAACCAAATCTGCAGTCAGACATACCAATATTTAAATTTTTTTCTAAATTGTTAGGTGCCAATTTATTATGTTACCCTAACAACTTTACTATGGTTGTAAATGCTTGCAAAAGTCTCACTTCTTTTTTTGTGTGTGGTAAAAACTGTTTCACAACATTGCCCAGGCTGACTTCAAATTCACTGTCTTTTTCTTTCAGTTGTAGAGTGCCGAGATTACAGGCCGATGCTCGCATCCTTGGCCTGACTTCGGCTTACTTTAAGATTTTGTATTTCTTAAGATAGCTGCTTTCTCCTCTTTTGTTGGTGTGTGTTTGGGGGGGGGGAAATCTGTGACTTGTCATAAGCTATAGATTTTGTTGTGACACTGTATCAGAGTAACATCATTATAGTAAATGTATAATGAAATGAATGTAATATTAATAGCATGAAATGAATGTACTGGAATGAGCATTTACATGTACTGGAGTCAGAAGCTTGCTGCAATTCACATAGACCAGCCAGGGATTAGCTAAAAAAGACCTTGACGCTACTGAGGGAAGTGAAAGGGGACACTTTGATTGTCAAGAAGCTTCCCTCAGTGAAGATCTAGTATGCTAGGTGGTTTTACATTTGAATGTCTTAGAAAATCAGATCTTTATAACTAGAAACACGCAGATTTGCTAGTAAGAGAGAATTAATAGAAATGCTAACCACAACCAAAGTAACATCATGGTATTGGGTATTCCAGTTTAAGTAGTACATAGATAAAAGATGCCAGGCTAGGCAGAAGGCTCAATCAGAAACTGCTTATGCATAAGGACCAGAGTTTAAATCCAGCTCCCAAAGAAAGAGCTGGCTATGATAAGTAGAGACAGGGGAATTAAAAACAAGCAGATTCTGGGGCCCTGTTATTCAGTCAGTGTAACTAAACAGGAAATTCCAGGTTTAGCGAGAGACCCCCAGAAACTAAGGCAAAGAGTAGTAGACTAAGGTAACCCAACATCAACCCCTTACTTACACACACATATTACATACATGCATACCTACACAGACATGTCCTCATATGTACACTTTCATACAAATGCCAAGGGGAAAATATAGAATGGATCATACTAAGAAGCAATGTCCAATAATAAGGCCTTTCTGAGATGACAGGCTCAAGTTCTAAAATAGTCACAAGACATAACTAAGTAGCTTTTGCAAACACACCATAGGGCCCCTTTGCAATCTTAGTGTGCACTTATTCCTGGTCCTTTCTTCAGTGGAAATTTCCCTGCAGGAGGGTAAAAGTCTAATTTTATTTTTTCTCTGCAGGACACTCAAGAATTAGACACTCTAAGGCTATTGTCCAGTAGTAAATATTTCTATCTAAATACAAACACTTTCCTACAAAGATGAAAGAAAGCATGTCTGATATCTCTAGGGTATTTTCACTACTTAATGGATGAATTGTTAAGTTCACCAAGCAGAGTAATAACTATAATTAATGAAATTTAGATGGTAATAAATTAAATAATTAAACTACCTTCTATATTTAGAAGATCCTTGGTTTATTTCTTATGAAGTTTTTGCCTTTATTACTGAGCTGCTCCTCACGAAAATATTTTGTTCATGTTCAGGGAAAACTTTTTCAAAATGTTTTGTATGAAGGAAACAATAGGTGTTTTAATAATAATAACAAGTGGAATCTATATTTAGGGCTTACTGATGGATGAGATTAACATAGAAAAGAAACACACACACACACAGAGGCACAGCCATTACGAATAGGCAGAGTGAGCGTCCCCATGAACTGTTACACAGAAAACTTGCCTTTGCACAGAGGGAGGTCTGCATGCACTCCTTTGAGAACACAGTTTGTCTCAGTCGTGGGTTGATGAGTCCTTGCCAGCATTAATCTACGTCCTTGTCTTACTGAGAGCATGCTGACCTGACTGATTACTTCTATCACACACTCCTTCTTGGCTTGTTCTGGGTAATGACTGTGCTTGCGATCGCAGCAGCACAGTGCGACTTTATGTCCTGGATGTGTGCTTTTCAGGGGCCTGAAAGGCACACATATTATTTCAAGGACATGATGTTTGCTGAGTAAGGTGGTCAAGGCTCTCACTGAGATGCAGTCACCTCTGATCCAGGGCACTTTCCTCAGACATCAGAGATGTCACTGTGAGCTGAGTGTAAAGACAGCTTTCTGGCGTGGGCATCTGTAACCTCCGGTCTGGTTACACTATGGGGTTGCCAAGCTGTATCTGTGGTCACTGACGTTGAGAGGGTAAGGGTTTCATTTAGCCATCTTCCGTGATCAGAGCATTTTAAAAGCCATTTATTTCGACACCATTGTTTCTCCTTCCTCTGACTTCTGCGGTCTCAGGGACTCTATGCATGACAGCTCATCTCGTTCATCCTTAGCAACACTGAAGTGGGGATTTTGGACCCTGCCCAAATGACATCCTTGTTTGCTTCCTTGTCTTCATAGATGACTAAGAATGGCACTGTAGAATCTGAGGAAGCCAGCACTCTGACCGTGGATGACATTTCCGATGACGATATTGATTTAGACAACACAGAAGTAGACGAGTACTTCTTCCTGCAACCCCTGCCCACTAAAAAGCGGAGAGCTCTGCTGCGAGCCTCGGGAGTAAAGAAGATCGACGTTGAGGAAAAACACGAGCTGCGGGCCATCCGACTGTCTCGGGAGGACTGCGGCTGTGACTGCAGAGTGTTCTGTGATCCAGAAACGTGTACCTGTAGCCTGGCAGGCATTAAATGTCAGGTAAGGATTGGGAGCCCAGGCATCTGAAGAAAAACTGTCACATGCCACCCCAGAAAGAAGCAGTCATGTTGTGTATAATAAGGTATTTTTTTTTAACCTGAAGAAAAAAAAAATACTGGCAAGGAAAGACACATAATTCAAGGGGAAAGAAACCCTAATTCAAGGGCATTCGTAAGATGCTTATACTATGTGTACTGTGAATGGCAATTCAAAGTGCAGCTGAGTTTATTGAAGGCGTTTCCTCCCGGATTCAGCCATTACACCAGTTTATTTTAACATTTTTTACATGTAGTCTGGGAGAGGACTTTTGGGTTCATATTTTCTGGTTCATCCACGGGGTATAAGTAACAATTCATCACCAGTTGTATAGACTTGGAGAAGTTCCTAGCCAGATAGATCTTTCAAAAAGCAAGTTCCTACCTTGTCTGAAGTAGGCATGTCAGGTTAACACATGGGGCTCTGTCATTTCTACCATGAGCAGGTTGAGATGCTGTCAAATGGACAGTGGAATCTGACTAGACACATTTCTGTAAACAAGGTTTTCTGGGGGCACAGATACTTTGTCTATCTGTTGCCTGTGATGGACTTCACTCTTCACCGTCCTGAGAAGACATGGCTGCAGATCCCCAGATGTTCTCCTACCCTTTTTCTTACTTTTTTTTTTGAAACGTAAAGTGAAGTTACAATTTATAGCCCTTTCTTGCGGCTGCTCTGGTTTCCTTAACAAGAAAGGGGTGTCTGTCTGACTGTGGCCACAAGATTGGCTTGAGGAGGCTGAAGAAGAAGCAGGGAGAAGATTTTTACAATTTGAGAATAGCCAGACAAACAGCAAAAAGTATGTCTTGTGCACAGAAGCTGAAATTTGACTTTCTATGAAAAATAGTAGGAAATAGCTTCCCCAGAGTCCCTGGATGATTGTGCTTTTAAAAGCTATGACTTTAAAACTAACTAAAAAGAAAAGCAATAGTTTATTAATTCCTTGACAAGGTGACTCTCTGGTTTCATCCATCAGACATTTAGCAGAGCCCTGTGAATGGTTACCTGCTCTTACTTTATGTGGAAATAGTTTTATTCATTTAAAAGGAGAAGTTTGCATAATTAGCTTCAAAAGAGAAAGGCAGCTGAGAGCCAAGGACAGTTCCCTTTCCCCAGCAACTGAGAACACATTTGCCCTCTCCATCCCCTTTCTCCTTTCTGTTTCCTCTTTTCTGTTTTGAGTCTGGTGCCTCATGGACATAATAGGCAAGTATTCTACCCCCACTGAGCTAACGTTTTTAAAATGTATTATTTTGAGAAAGAGTTTTACTAAGTTGCCTGGGGGCTGGTCTTCAGCTTCCAAGTCTCCTGATTCCCGGGAGTTACATTCTTAGGCACAGGGTATGTCTATTTGAAATGGGCTTCTCTTTTCAAGAGGGAAACAGGGCAAACAACCTGCATCCACATAGCAAGGGCCCACTGAGAAGAAGACACAGTGTTGAGACAATAGCAGTATGACACTGGATGACCCTAAGTAGTGTCATCCCAGACTTCTGTAGCAGTGAAGGTCATCTGATAAAAGAACAGAGTAGCATGCAATGATGTCATAGAAGTTAGATTAGACCAGGGGTTCTGGGGGAACAGTCCACGTGTGACTTGGAAGTGGGTGAGTGAGTTGGAATGCACCAGAATGCACTGGGTTTGCAAGATGGGAACAAAATCAAATGCAGAAAGGGAAGGGAAAGTAGAGAGTGTAGAAATACGAAAGCCCGGAGGGCGCAATCAAATTTAAATTCTCAATTATCCTCATGCCACCACTCTTTTGAACATACATTTAGAAACCAGTTCGTTGCCATAACTTAAGTCTTCACTTCCCGGGCTCCTTTTTCTTGCAGCTTATTTGCGGCTTGCTGTGACAGAAGGAGAACCTGAATGCATTACTTCATTCAGAGGAGTTGTTACAAAGTCCTTGATTTTATTTGGTCTGTAACAGTTCCTTGCTGCTAACCTGTGTTCTTCCTTCCAAGGTGGATCGTATGTCTTTCCCATGTGGCTGCACTAAAGAAGGCTGTAGTAACACAGCAGGTAGAATTGAATTTAATCCTATCCGTGTCCGGACTCATTTTTTGCACACAATAATGAAACTTGAACTGGAGAAGAGCCGAGAGCAGCAAACCCCCACGCTGAACGGCTGCCACGGGGAGATAAGCACCCACGGTCCTTCCATGGGCCCTGTCGCTCATTCTGTAGACTACTCCATCGCAGACAATTTCGAGATTGAAACCGAACCCCAGGCTGCCGTGCTGCACCTACAGGAGGAACTGGATTGCCAAGGAGACGAGGAGGAAGAGGAGGAAGATGGAAGCAGTTTCTGCAGTGGAGCTACTGACTCTAGCACCCAAAGCCTGGCCCCCAGTGAATCAGATGAGGAAGAGGAGGAGGAAGAAGAAGAAGAGGAAGAGGAGGAGGAAGATGATGACGACGACAAAGGAGACGGCTTTGTAGAAGGGCTTGGAGCCCATACTGAAGTCGTCCCCCTTCCTTCTGTCCTTTGTTACTCTGATGGCACCGCAGTTCATGAAAGCCACGCAAAAAATGCTTCATTTTACGCTAGCTCTTCAACTCTGTACTACCAAATAGATAGCCACATCCCAGGAACTCCTAGCCAGCTTTCTGACAACTATTCTGAAAGAGATACTGTCAAAAACGGTGCCCTTTCGCTGGTGCCTTACGCCATGACACCGGAGCGATTTGTTGACTATGCCAGGCAAGCGGAAGAGGCCTACGGGGCCTCCCACTACCCAGCTGCCAATCCGTCTGTCATCGTTTGCTGCCCCACCTCTGAAAACGATAGTGGGGTGCCCTGTAACCCCTTATATCCTGAACACAGGTCCAATCTTCCCCAAGTGGAATTTCACTCATACTTGAAAGGCCCTTCCCAGGAAGGGTTCGTCTCCACCTTGAATGGCGACAGCCACATCTCCGAGCATCCTGCAGAAAATCCTTTGAGCCTTGCAGAAAAGAGCAGATTGCATGAGGAGTGCATTCAATCTCCCGTGGTGGAAACGGTCCCCGTTTAGTTGCTTCAAGTATTCTATTACAGGACCAAGTCTTCTGTTTAAGGCTTTGTTCTGCCTTTGCTGGGCTCATCGTTGTTTAAACCTGAAGACCAAGAATATGTGGACTGTGATTAATCTTCCAGACAGTATTTCCTTCCTTCCTTTCTAGCTTCCCAACTGTGGCGTGGCACAAATACAGTCGCTATGGGGATTTTAAACGATTCTGAGCTGTTTTGATAGAAAATGCTAAATTTAAAAAAAAAATGCATATCTCACAGTTGCCTACCTGTCAAACTGTGTGAAACCTGCCAAGCTATGCAGATCATAGCTCCAAGTTTTAGATTACCGGGCCTGTGCAAGATTGTTAACTAAGACTAGAAAACAAGCAGATTTAGAGTCCTAATTTTTCGATATATCTGAAGATGACGGTGACTTTTTAATGTAAAAGTAATTATTGTAAGAAAAAAAAGATTGAATCGTTTCTTGTGTATTTTATTTATGGTAGTTTAGAAGTCATGCTTTGAAGAAAATGAACAGCATGTTCATTGAAGCCGAAGACGTGTTAGCTAGCACCACAGAGCATGTCCACAGGATTGCATCTGGAATCCACCCACATTTTTACGATCATGACTCAGCAGATTTGCAAATACTTTCTTAAGGATGAAATAGGCCTATTTTTGCTATTTGGGACAAGTGAGTCTATATGTGCAGGTCCTTACACAGTTTTCTCTCAAGAGTTAGGACAATCCTCTGGTGAGGGTCCAGTCCATTGCTCTCCCTCAGCTGAGATAGACGGAATTGCCTTTCCTTTTCAAACAGCATCATCTTGTTTATTAGCTTGGACAGCACCTTTAAACTCTACTCTCTCCATCAAAATGCACTTTAGTGCCCCTTCATGGTACCTCGTGTGGGATGGGGTCTCAGAATGCTTTGACATAAAATTTTTTTAATTATTAAAAAAAGAAGGTAACTATTGTAAGGTTCATACAATAGAGATAGAGGATTCTCCAGTGACGTGAAGGAACATGACTCATTTTCCTTCAACACTCCTAGGACCTAACTCAATCCTAACAGAGAGGTGGGGGTGGAGTGGGGGTTGGGGCAGAGCCTCAGCACCCCATCTCCACTGCAGTCAATCCATTTCTACAAATGCAAAAAAAAAAACCCATGTAATGAGATTTCCACTTAGTGACTAGCTGATTGAAGGCAGACCTGGGCTTACAAACTCATTAGGCCTCATTTTCTGGAGCATTTTTATCTGTCATGCCTGGGATAGTCAGCAGCACAGCCCAGAATGCATTGAGAAGGCAGCCACCTCACATTCTCTTACTTAGTAAAGAGAGTGAATAGAAAGGAAACATACCCCACCCAGCCCTAGAATGTCTGCTACCCGTGCTTCGGAGGACTTTGAGCAACTTCTTTCCTGTCAGCTTCAGCAGCTATAGAACAAATGTTATGGTTTCCTCCAATGCAGTCATTATGCTGAATCCATTTACCATTCTATGGTGACATCATTTCTCATACTTTATGGCTATTTAAAATGTAGACACACCCTGCTATGTGGTAACTGCATCTCTAATGTTTTAATGCCTCCTTGATGTGAGGATTTGAATAACTTTCAGATTTCAGTTCCTTATAGCATACTATTTTATTTGATCAAATAAATGACTTGTTTTCCTTCACCACTCCTAGGACCTAACTCAGTCCTAACAGAGAATTGAATGCGCTTCAGAGTCCTCTGGTGAGAAACCTCTATTTAAACTCCATGTGGGGAAAGTATGTTTGCTTGTAGACTTGTTTCTTCTCTATGCCACCTCAAGACTAAATCAACACCAATGTTTACTAACATTAAAAGCACTTTGGGTCTGCCATGCTATCGAAAGCAGTAATGGGGGGGGGGAACAACTCCTCTTGGTTGATCGGTGACACTAATCTGATGGAAATTTACTCAGATTTCGGTAATATGTCCAGAGTTCTCTGTAGCGTTGCCATTATTGGCATTTGATTTCCAGTGATGTTGTCTCCTGCCTACGAAATCTAAAGGGCAGGGGCTCAAAGAAGAAACGACAAAAGGCTATTGTTCCTTTGTTCAAGCAAATGAAAGAATTTTGTGTTCTGTATTTGCTAGACCATTCCAACCTCTGGAAGTATCTACTGGTGAGGCACTCGAAGGCTGCAATTAGAACAGAGTGTGGGGAGGCCCAGGGTAATTCTGACTAGGGTAGGGTTGATTCAGTGAATGAACGAACAGTCCACTTCCTGGATCTTCAGGGATGTTTCTTTCAGTCCAGCTTTATTTTCACAAGGTTTGAAGCATTCTTTTTTTTTTTTTTTTTTTTTTGTATTTTGTTGGGTTTCTCTTTTGCAGCTTTAGTTTTCCCAAAAGGATACTTCAAAAGCAGAGCTTTCGTCCTCTCTGTTCAATTGAGATAGAAAGTTTCACTCTGCTAAGGATAATCACTTTTCTAAGCGTGAAAGCCGGCATTCTAAGTTTTTACATTCCTAAGTAGATATCCCTCACAAATCATAATAGGTACAGGCTACCTATCTTAGCAACAATAACAAATCAAACCCTGCATACCTTATCTTTATTAAATACACAAAAACACAGAATACACATACACCATCCCCTAGAGTGGGGCAGATTGTAGGCAGTAGCTAGTAATGAGTACTGGATAGTTAGTTCCTGCAGTACAAACAGATTGTGCTTTACCTAAAACTATAAAGAGAGAAGAATTTTGAGAGCACTTGATTGAAAATTTGATTTAGAGTTACAAATGATATTAACGAGGAATTATTTCATTGTGACTTCCTTTCCCAGAAGGAACTGAACTGAGAACATAATGATTCTTCTGGATGGTTCTTCTCTGCTAGTCAACATACTCAATAGAACTACCCACATGCCAGGCAAGTGCCACAGTGATTACTGATTTTCAAAGGGAGTGGAGCAGTTAGCTGCAACCAGGTTGAGATGCTTTAAATCTTAGTACCAAGGGACAATGATTTGACCTGTAGCTGTTGTGCTGCTTCTGTAGGATATCTAACCAAATTAGGGTCTCTCTTTGCACACATTTCCCAAGTCAAGTTCCATCAACTGCAAAGCCCAATGCTTCAGATCCTGTCTGTTAGTTTAAAGATTTGATTCCCAGCTGTACTGGCCAAACTGATGTGCAAGTCAAGTGACCTGAGCAGCATCAATCCCCTTTAAATATTTTTTTTAAATTTTCATTGGTAGAAAGAAATTAAAAGAATATGTTAAGTCCCTCCCCCTATCTATTGATCATCCAATATTAAAATGTATGTGAAATCCAATTGTCTCTCTTTTTTTTTTTTTTTGGTAGATTGAATAGTAGACTTTTTGAAAGCCAGTCTTGTGATAGAATTATGTTTTTCTCGCCATGTCATGCCAACCACATGTAAAATATCTAACATTTCCTCAAAGGAAGAAATCCTTATAATTGCATGGCCCAGCAGGACCACCTCCTTCTGCTCATTCCTACAAAACAGTGCCAGTTATAGCAACTTGCCACAATTCTCAAGAAATGCTGAGGTTATATTGATTATATTCTAGGCAATTTTTTTTTTTACCTAGATTTTATTAAACAAGATGAACCATCTTCAGAAAATATCTACTTTTTCTTTTAACAAGTATATATTGAATACCTCCTATGTTATAGCAGCTGACCTGGTAGCAAAACAAGCAGGGGACTTCCATATTTGGAAGGATGAGGACAAGGAAGGGTGATGTGAGATGGTCAAGCCTCTTCAGATCCTTCTCCATTGGAATCCTCTATGTCCTTCCTATTGGGAATGCTGTCACCGATTCTTCTAATCCTATACATCTGCATCTATTCGGTGCTGATTTCCCTAAATTGATGGAACTTACTTCATCCTCTTGGAGCTTAGGAAGTAAGTTTGGGTTCAGGGAAAAGATGCTCAGAGAATTGTTTCTTGGATGCAGTGCTATCTAAGAAAACGTCAAATTTATGCCAGTAAAATTCCCACCAGTTTTGGAAGGAGGGTTGATCAATTCAGAACCCAGAGAACTTCAGAAACAGCAAGGGCCATGACCCTCTTACTCATTTTATAAACAGCTATTAAGATGGCAAAACCCTGCACAAAGGCATTGACTGAAAGAAGATAGAAAATGAAAGAGGATATTTGTGACCCCTTCCTTTAGCTGGAATTACAATCGAGAGACAGTTTACGTCATTATAGTCGACATATGAAATGCCAAGTGTAAATGGAAGGCACCTTTATGCTTGCAAGGTCAAAATGGCTGTAATTTCAAGTTATAACCATTGTATTGTTACCATGACCAACACCTGAAGTGCAAGGCTTGTGTACTTTTACTACTAATACGAAATTGAATTACTATATCATTTTCCAAGAATTAAGAGCTTGTGCCGGAGTCACTTAAATGTCACAGCTTTGCACCCACAGTTCAGTTTGTCAAATATTTTCTGTACCATGACAGAACTTAATTGACTTAAGAATCACAATTTGAAAACTCACTAAAATTGTGAAAGGGACAGGATAGGGGTTCCGATGGAGTATAAGTTTGGAAGTGATAATGTCTATGAACTATTAATATATCTCAGCAGTGGTAGACTGGGGATTAGTGCACAGGACTTTATAAATGACAGGCACCCCAAAACCAGAAAGATCGGTTCTGATGTGGCTGCCCCAAGAGCCTGGCGGGTTTTCTGTTTGCTTGCCAACATGCAAAGCAGTTGCAGTTCATTCTCTAAAATATAAGAACACAGAATCTGAAGAAAGTCTTCAAACATGCGCGCGCACTCTCACACACGCACACACAGTCACATGGAAGCATTTTCTCTCATGAATCCTCAGTCAAGAACATGAGACCTGGTTCCTAAACAGCACAGTGTCTTCCTCTTTTGTTGCTCGTCAGAAACGAAAATCTAGAAGCTGGATACTGCCTTGGTTTTCTGAAGTGGTCAGTAGCAGTTTTAGTCTAACTGTACGCTGTGTTGCCTGCCTTGAGATTTCCATTCTGAAGGCTACATCAGAAGAAGGGGATTTGGGAGAGTAGGAATGAACTCCAGAGCCTAAACTATATGCCTTTTCAGTTCATTGACTATGGGTAGATTTTTTTTAACTACCCTTAATATAGAAGCTGGAAGTTTAGAACATGCAGATATTTCTTATGTATGGGAAAAGAAGTCACTCCCAAGAAGATTTATGTCCTGTGGGTTACTATTTTCTTTCCTTGCGATTAGCTTTTCAGCATACAGGACCATTGCTTTGTATCTGACCCTTCATGCTTGCTTACATTTCAAGAAAAGACAATTCTATTGTTATTTTATTTCATCTTTCACAAAAGCAGCCAACCTTGTAAAGGGGGATGATCGACGGATGTTATTCTAGACAGCATTTGTACTCGGCAGCTTTGCTTCAATTCGTCCGACTATCTCACTAGCATACTGAGAGTAAAGTCAGTTCAAATTATAAAGTTT